CTTTGGCGTCAAATTGGTTACTTGTCATTTTATAAAAGATTTTGAAACATGAGAAAGCTTCACTTTCAGTACGAAGTAAATAAACTAAATTAGCAATAGAGTAACCATCAATAAAAGTAACAAACAAACAATAATCAGAAAGAGAAACAACATGGGAGGGCATCTACAATAAGCATAAAGAGAGAAATGCTTTTTTTTTTTTTTTTGGAGGATAAGATCGTTTAGGCTTGGCAAATTCACAAGCATCGCAAACAAAACTACTTCTGTTACAATCTATGAAGCACGGGTACGAGTACTGGTACTGGTACGATACGGGTACGTTGATACGGTAAATTCCAAAAAAAGTAGGGTATAGGTACGGCTTGGTACACTCGTAAAAAAATATTTATTTTTAATTTAGAGCAACTCAAAAATTAATTAAATGATTTAATTTGTTAAGCTCCAACCTATAATTAACATTTAATGCTAAAAGTAAAGGTATAAATCAAAATTAAATGTCAATATATTAAATAACTTACAAACCATAGTTTAATTTTAAAATCATTCTAAATATAAAACTAAAAATAAAAAAGAAGTCTAGTGAAAAGAGTTTTATCTCTATAGTAGAAGAAAATATTGTTTCAATTGAGGTACGGTACAGCTTGGGTATATACTAGGTACGTTTGGGTACGTCAAAAATTAAGAAGAAAAAATTTGGATACGTATTTCGTGTACTTGGTACGTATACAAAAGTACTATACGAGATACCATACGCCAGTAAGTACTCAGTATGGTGATGCAGGACAAATTCGAAATAGGCCTAAGTATGAGCAAAAACACAAACTATTTTTGGGGCTGTGAACAGCAGATATGAACAGTAGACGTGAACAGTAATTTGTAGGAAGTAGAGGAAGGGTTAAAGAAGGATAGATCTAGATATCACACCTAGAAAACCCAAGACATCACACCAATGGGCTCTTTAGCGTCACACTAAAGAAAGATTGCATCGCACAATCATAGAAGCCTAAGCTTAATTTTCATTCATTGCATAATTTGCCACAAGACTTACAATATAATTTATACTAACTTCATCTTGATTATAAAACTTTCCAAATTAAATGACATGACTAACTTAGACTCCCTAGGACTCTTTAATGCATTTATCATGTGAAAGACACTAGAAGACTCTTTGACCAATTAAATAACCCAAAGTCCTTGACTAGAAATTTGAAAACATTTGACTTGAGAAACTCAAAAGACACTTTTAAATAAATCCCAAGTCTAGTTTATCTCCCAAGTAGGCCCCACATCATCTAGCATATGCCAGATTAAGGCTTGGGCCTTAGAACCGTTGGATCCACGCCTTTTATAGACTTTAATTGGCTGCTGCCATTTTCCATCAACTCTGCCTGGCTTGAAAGAACTCAACCCCGTTGAGTTAAAAGCATGGAACTCTTCATAAAGGTCAGGGTTGAGGCGCCGAAACTCCTCATCAGTAATCCAAGTGCAATCTGACAGTGAACGTTCCTTCCACTTAATGTGATACTTTTGATAACCTCCATGTTGAGTTGAAACAATTTGATGGTCAATCACGTCTTCAATTTCATCTTGAAAAGATTTGGGTGCCGCGAGAGATGCCACAGGGTCAGCCTAGTTACTATTTTTAGCATGCCCAGAATATCGAGTGAGATCCTCAATATTGAGCACATTACTTATGCGCATATCATCAGGCAATTCGAGCACATAAGCATTTGAACTGATCTTCTTGAGAACTTTAAATGGTCCAGGACTCTTCGAATGAAGTGTCTTATATACCCCTTTAGGATACCGTTTGGGTTTGATTCGAACCATGACCATGTCGCCCTCATCAAATTCAGCAAACCTCCGCCGCAAATCAGCATGTTGTTTGTACCCCTCATTGCTGATGGCAATCTTTCGTCGCACTTCATCATGGATATCACGGATATGTTGACTAAAAGCTTCAGCTTCAGCACTTGGGTGAGCCTGAATAGGTAGGGGAACTAAATCGATTGGTTTCCTTGGAAGCAAACCTGTGACAATTTCGAAAGGGCTACGACCTGTAGATCTGTTCACAGAGCTATTGTATGCAAATTCTGCCATAGGCAGTACCTGATCCCAGCTACCAACATGATCACTAACAAGACAGCGAAGTAGGTTACCCAAACTGCGGTTAACAACCTCCGTTTGACCATCAGTTTGCGGATGAAAAGCTGAAGAAAATTTCAGCTTTGTATTTAGCAACTTCCATATCGTTCGCCAAATGTAGCTCATAAATTTTGAATCATGGTCAGAGACAATGGTCATTGGCAGTCTATGAAGTCTAAGAACTTCTTGAAAGAAGAGCTTAGCTATGTGGACTGCATCCAATGTCTTTGAACAAGGAATAAAGTGTGCCATTTTGGAGAAGCGATCCACAACCACAAGGATAGAATCATGCTTCCGAAGGGTTTTTGGTAATCCAAGGACAAAGTCCATACTTAAATCCTGCCAAGGTTCGTGGGCCACAGGTAACGGAGTGTGTAAACCTACATTCTTCTTTCTTCCCTTCGAAAGTTGGCAAGTACGGCATCGTGAAACAACCTCGCCCACATCTCGCTTCAGCTTTGGCCAATAAAAGCGATCCTCGGCCATTGCAAATGTCTTATCTCTTCCAAAATGACCTGCTGCTCCTCCGGAATGCAATTCCCAAATCATTTCTTCACGAATTGATGTATTGGGTAAGCAGAGGCGAGTTCCCTTGAAGAGGAAACCATCATGCAAAGAAAACTCACCATATCCTCCCTGCTGTCCAGCCAGCAACTGAGCATGTATAGAGCTAAAATCCTTAGAAGAAGGATAATCTCTCTTGAGCAAGTCAAAACCCACCACCTGTATAGCCATGGAAGAGAGAACATACACCACTCGGCTAAGGGCATCAGCAACTTTGTTCTCAAAGCCAACTTTATGTTTGATAACAAAAGAATACTCCTGCAGAAATGAAACCCATTTACCATGTCGATGATTCAGCTTCTTTTGACAGTTGATGTACTTGAGTGCTTCATGGTCGGAAAACAACACAAACTCCTTATAAAGAAGATAGTGTCGCCAATGGTGAAGAGCTTCAATCACTGCATAAAATTCCTTGTCATAGGTGGAATACTTTTGCTTGGTTTCATTGAGTTTTTCGCTGAAATAGGCAGCTGGGTGCCCTTCTTGACTCAGCACACCCCCAATCCCAACATTTGAAGCATCACACGCCAACTCAAATACCTTTGAGAAGTCAGGAAGGTGTAGAACAGGAGCCTCAGACATCATCTTCTTTATGTCTTCAAAAGCTTTTGCTGCTGCCTTTGTCCAAACAAACTGTCCCCCTTTCATACAGTTAGTGATAGGTGCCATTACCGTGCTGAAACTCCTGATAAACCGATGATAAAAAGTTGCCAGCCCATGAAAGCTGCGAACTTCATGCAAGGAGGTTGGAATTGGCCTTCCAAAGTACTGATGCGCAGACTAAAATTATCTATCTGCTCCATAAGCTTCAGCAGAATCTCGTCACGCTGTAAATCAGTTAATCTTCCCCTAAATGGCTTTCCGGATCGTGTAGACATGATGCTACTTTCGCTCTGATACCAAGTTGATGCAGGACAGATTCGAAATAGGCCTCAGTATAACAGGGCTGTTTTTGGGGTTGTGAACAGCAGATATGAACAATAGACGTGAACAGTGATTTGTAGGAAGTAGAAGAAGGGTTAAAGAAGGATAGATCTAGATATCACACCTAGAAAACCCAAGGCATCACACCAATGGGCTCTTTAGCATCACACTAAAGAAAGATTGCATCGCACAATCATAGAAGCCTAAGCTTAATTTTCATTCATTACATAATTTGCCACAAGACTTACAATATAATTTATACTAACTTCATCTTGATTCTAAAACTTTCCAAATTAAATGACTTGACTAACTTAGACTCCCTAGGACTCTTTAATGCATTAATCATGTGAAAGACACTAGAAGACTCTTTGACCAGCTAAATAACCCATAGACCTTGACTAGAAATTTAAAGACATTTGACTTGAGAAACTCAAAAGACACTTTTAAATAAATCCCAAGTCTAGTTAATCTCTCAAGTAGGCCTCACATCATCTAGCATATGCCAGATTAAGGCTTGGGCCTTAGAACCGTTGGATTCACGCCTTTTATAGACTTTAATTGGCTGCTGCCATTTTCCATCATACGGGTACGGCATATTTTTCGAAGTACCCATGCTTCATAGTTTACAATCCTTTATGAAATTAGTACAAAATTTTTGTAAAGCACCTAAAGATTGGTGTCCTAAGTGCCAATGCCACTAATGTAAGAGGTGTAATGCTCAACTAGTAGCTATTTGAAGAGCCTGACCAGATGACAACGGTGAAGTGGAAGCAGATGAAACATCCACAAAGTATAGGCTACCATGTGCTCTACCTCTGTCAATTTCCCTTGCCAGTTCCTGAAAGACACAATGCTTAAGAAATAAATGTTACTGAGCAATTCTGAATTAGTAAGGCTACTAACAAAGAGTAGATTAGTGAAAAAATTCAGAACATGGAGAACAAATGAAAGAGATATAGAGGGAGACCGCTAATACATTGAGATAAGTAGCACGCATAACATAATACACAACGTTCTCAGAGCTAAAAATATTTACAGTTTATACACAACGTTCTCAGATCTTTGTCAATTATAGTTTCAGAGGAACTAGGCTGACTACTGAGCTTTAATTTTCTGTTCTGTGCATATTTTTTTTAATAATAATGCTTGCCATTACTTGAGTAGCTGTGATGCACTTATCTTGACATCTTGTTCTGTTGAGACAAACTGAATGTAGAAGTCTCTCTGGAAGTGTTTGGTGAGAGGTTTGACTTTTTGAAATGGCTTGCAATATTACAGTTATTTTGGAATGCAAAAATTTACTAAAGATGACTGGTTTCCTGTTTATGTTGCCAGTATTTATAGCATTCTTTTTGGTTTATGTACAGGCAGATGCTGCTTTGATGCTCCTTGGAGACATAATTTCCAATGTGAGTATGACATTCTTTCTTTTGTGGTTCCTGATGCTAAGTATACATTTTTTTAAAATTTTTTTGTCTGTTTGTTTTCCTTGTTAGTATGCACAAGTTTTATTACTGATACACATCTGATTATAACTATTGTTGCGTTGCACTTTTTCTGTTAGGATTTAATGAACGCATTTACAGTACCTCAAGATGTCTGGGACATTCGGCTATTTAAGCGTTTGCCATCAGCGTAAGTGTACTTTGTCTACATGCAGATAATACTAATTGTTTCAAATATTAATCATCAACGATATTGTTGCCGCCTTAGCATCAATATTGTACATCAATATAGGTGACAAGAATGATTGGGCAATTAATATTTCTAGTCTAGGCTTAATTTTGTGGCAACAAATTTGAGTACCAAAAGTTATTTGATAGTGTTCTTTTAAAGGAGTTGATAGTGTGCACATCCAATGCAAATAGTTGTACTTATTTCAGTGATATTGGAGCCTATTTTCATGGAATTATCATGAACAGCCTTTAGGAAAGGTTCTAATAGCACTTCATTGGTCCTTCCTAGTAGGAGGGTATAGATCCAAATGATTTTCTCCCATTGCTTGATACAATGGTAAACTTTGAGCTGTTGAGTGTGAAAATATAGTATTCATTTGTGAAATCAGGAGTTTGGTTAGTCAGGCCAGATTAGTATAATCAAAACTATTGGCCGTTCTTAAGCTTCACATAAGCATGCACTAAATATTTTTGCTCATCAGCTAGGTATGCTTTTAATCTTTTGGACGGATTTAATAATGTTTCTTTAGTTTATTGTTTTTAGTGCTCTGCCTCCCTGCTTAGTGGAGGTTTATCCTTTCTTTTAATGTTTGTGTTGGGCATACTATGTGATTGACGAATATCAACAAAATTGAAAGGAAAATTTTGTAGAGCAACTATAAGGCTAGCTATGCTTTACAGGATAAAATGTTAGACAACTAAGAAACATGTATATAAAATGGGTGTAGTTGAGATGAGTATGCTTAGATGGATGGTCTCCCGGGATTAGTCCAGGTGCGTGTAAGCTGGCCCGGACACCTAATTATCCCCCCCCAAAAAAAAAAAAAAAAAAAAAAGGTCCTTGACACAGAATGGTGAAAAAGAATTCATGTAATTGACCCTTCTTGATTGGGACCAAGGACTTAGTTTGGTTTGGTTATTATGAGTCACAAAATTGCTTTTCAGGAAAAAAATAGGTCTCAAATATTTCACACCTTGGTACTTTCAATAATATTAGTCTTCATACATATTGATGATTTCTAGAAAAATAGTTGATTGAAATATGTTGAACTAAATAGAAGGACCCAGGATAAAGAGATTATTTGAGTAGTACAATGGACACCTCCAGAAGACTCTGGTTTATTTGCTGGCAGTTTCACAACCTGTTTTTGGAGTAAAGGAGTTCTCAATAGATGGCTTCTTTGTTAATGTCTTTGTTACCTTGAACTTGGATTGTTCCGGTACAGGGAATGGGAACGTAGTACACCGCATGCTTAAATTGTGGTACGATAAGGTTGGGTTTGTTTCCAAAGTGCACCAACTTGTGACAATCCGTTGGCAAGGGTCATTGATGAGCAAACAGAATTGAACCTCTTAAGATGAGAGAGATTTAATTTAAACCCTACAGATCTGAAAAAAGTGTAATTGTTGGAGAAGCATGCAGCTATTTCCTCTTCAGTCTCCTAGCCTGCTATTTCTTGCCGCCAAAATAAAATAAATTCTCTAATGTGGGAACACTTCTATGCTTCTTGCGATTAGGTGTGAATGATGTTCTTCCTTCACCTTTAGACTTGATTTGTGTTGAATGTATAGATGAGAAGAAGAAGAAGAATAAGAAGAAGAAATAGAACGAGAGAAAGCTGCTGTCTAATATTGATTAAAAAAACATAGGGTTTCTCCCTTACACATAACTACTTATACTAATAAGAATAATACATAAAGACCAAACTATCCCTAACACTTAACACTCCCCCTCAAGTTGGTGCAAAGATGTTTCTCATGCCCAACTTGCAACAAATAGGGTGAAAGACTTTACTACTAAGACCCTTAGTAAAAACATCCGCCAGTTGATCTTCAGACTTAACAAAAGGCATACATATCACACCCTTATTCAATTTCTCCTTAATGAAATGTTTGTCAATCTCAATATGCTTAGTCCGGTCATGTTGAACAGGATTGTGTGCAATACTAATAGCAGCTTTGTTGTCGCAATACAAAGTCACAGGACCACTCCAATCAAGCCCTATATCACTCAACAAAGATTGAAGCCACATTAGTTCACATGTTCCATGTGCCATAGCCCTGTATTCAACTTCAGCACTAGATCTAGAAACGACCGCTTGCTTCTTACTACGCCATGTGACTAAATTTCCCCCTACAAAAGCACAATAACCGGAGGTAGAGCGTCGGTCATCTATAGAGCCTGCCCAATCTGCATCTGTGAACGCTTCTAACCGCAAGTGACCATGATTAGAGAACAAAATTTCTTTTCCAGGGGCAGATTGAAGGTACCTCAAAATGCGATAGACTGCATCCAAATGAGTTGCACTAGGATCATGGATAAACTGACTCACTATCCCAACTGCATAGGCAATATCTGGACGAGTATGAGAGAGATATATCAGTCTTCCCACAAGTCTTTGGTACCTTTCCTTCTCCACAGGCTCACCAATTCCACTACAAAGATGATAATTAGTCTCAATTGGTGAATCAGCTGGTCTACAGCCCAACATGTCCGTTTCCTCAAGAATATCTAGAATGTACTTCCTTTGAGAAATAAAGATGCCTTTATCAGATCGAGCAACTTCAATCCCAAGAAAGTATCGCAATGGACCAAGTTCTTTTATCTCAAACTCCTTGGCTAACTACATCTTGAGATGGGTCACCTCTTCCTCATCATTACCTGCCACAACTATGTCATCCACATATACAATAAGCACTGTTACCTTATGTACATTGCGTTTGACAAACAAGGTGTGATCCGCATTGCTTTGCTGATACCCAAATCCCAGTATTGCCTTGAGGAATCTACCAAATCAGGCTCTAGGAGATTGTTTCAAACCGTACAAAGCCTTCTTTAATCTACAAACATTTCCAACTGTAGATTGAGATGAGAATCCTGGAGGTACATCCATATATACCTCCTCCTCAAAATCCCCATGAAGAAAAGCATTCTTCACATCTAGTTGCTGTAGAGGCCATCCCAAATTAGCCGTACATGACAGAATAGCCCGAATGGAATTCATCTTTGCTACCGGGGCAAAAGGTTCTTGATAATCTATTCCATATGTTTGGGTAAATCCCTTTGCCACTAGTCTTGCTTTGTACCCGTTCAATCGTCTCATTTGCATTGTGCTTACTGGTGAGCACCCACTTACATCCGACTGGTTTTTTCCCATTTGGAAGAGACATCAACTCCCATGTGTTATTTTTACTCAAAGCTTGAATCTCTTCTACCATAGCTACCTTCCACTCAGGATCATTGATGGCTTCTTTCCAACCCTACGGAATACACACAGAAGAAAGGGACGGAACAAAAGCACGATACGGAGAAGACAACGAATCATATGACACGAATTTAGAAATAGGGTGTTGAGTACAAGCTCTAACCCCCTTTCCGAGAGCAATAGGAAGACTCAAATCATCCATAACAGGACCATCAACAACAGGTGAAGAAATGAGATGAGGATCATTACCTGAAGAGTTAGTGGACACTGGGTGTGGAACTGGCATAAGAGATGATGATTGACTTGGTTGCACAAGAGAAGCCGGCTCTTTCTGACGCCGTGAATAAGTCTTAAGATCAGCTCTGTCCAAACGACCACCGATATCCGACTCCTCATCAACAGAACTTCTAGGCTCTCCCTCACCACAAATAACAGCGCGCTAAGTAGGAAGGAAAAGAGACAACTCATGCTGATATAATGCCATCTCATCTGCAATCTCATCGATACCACGCTCCCCCTGAGGAGATGGCGGATGACCAGAAAAAAATGACTCACATTCATGGAAGGTAACATCCATACTAACATACAACTTATGAGAGTGAGGGTCATAACATTTGTAGCCTTTCTGAGTAGCAGAATAACCAAGAAAGACACACCGGACAGCGTTATGATCAAGCTTCCCACGAGTACGAGGGTGAAGATGAACAAAACAGACACAACCAAAAACCCGAGGCGGAAGGGAAGACGTGTGATAAGTCACAGGAAGAAGCTCAAGAGGAATTTGGAAGTGAAGGACACTAGAGGGCATACGGTTAATAAGGTAAGCCGCGGTAAGAACCGCATCCCCCCAAAAGGACTTAGGAACGTTCATGGTAAACAAGAGAGAGCGAGCAACCTCAAGGAGATGACCGTTCTTATGTTTAGCAACTCCATTCTGTGTAGGAGTGCCAACACAACTAGTTTGATAAAGAATGCCATGCTCGTCGAGGTATGCCCGGAAAGCGCCATCAACATACTCAGTCCCATTATCACTCCTAAGAATTTTGATAGTAGCATTGAAGAGATTGGATACTATTTTATGAAAACTTTTGAAGCATGAGAAAACCTCATTTTTTGTACGAAGTAAATAAATCTAAGTCACACGGGAATAACAATCAATAAATGTGACAAACCAACGATAACCAGAGGTAGAAACAACAGGGGAAGGACCCCACACATCGGTATGAATAAGCATAAAAGGAAAAGTACTTCTTTTATTGATTGAAGGATAACAAGTACGTTTATGCTTAGCAAACTTACAAGCATCACAAACAAAGTTATTCCTAGGACAATCATGAACTAATAAAGGAAAAAGTTTCTCTAAAATGCTAAATGAAGGATGCCCCAAACGGCGATGCCACTGATGAAAGAGACGAAGGAAGGAGTTAGAACGCATTGAAGAGCCTGAGAGGACAAAGGTGAAGCAGGAATGGCATCCAGAAAGCACAGACCACTTTGTGCTCTACCACTGCCAATCATTTTCCCTGTAGCCAGTTCCTGAAAGACACGATGAGTCGGAAAAAAGGGTACAGAGCAATTGAGAGCAGTAGTAAGGCTACTAATAGAAAGTAAGTTAGTTGAAAACTTAGGAACATGAAGAACCAGTGTTTTAAAAATCGCGCTTAGGCGCGCGCCTAAGCCCAAGGCGACATGAAGCGCAGCAGTGCGCCTCAAACATGGCGAGGCGAGGCGAGGCGACATGGGCAAGGTGCAGGTGAGGCGATGAAGCGCGTGCTTTATAATAAAGCTCGAGGCGTGCGCTTCATGAGCTTCAAGTGTATTTCACTCCAACAGCCCCCCATCTGTTTACTGTGTGGATAACACATGGGATGACATCTCAGTTACATTTTAAAATGATAGAAACGTGGGTCAACAACAGAGCAAAAACGTTTAAAAATGCCCTAGTGGAGAAGAAGAAGAAGAAGCGACGTGAACAGTATAACACACGCCAAATACACAGGTTCTCTTCTCCTCTCTCTTCTCCTCTTCTCTCTCTTCTCTGGTTCTCTTCTCCTCTTCTTCTCTTCTCTCTCTTCTCCTCTTCTTCTCTTCTCTCTCTTCTCTCTTCTCTGGTTCTCTTCTTCTCTTCTCCTCATCTTCTCTGGTTCTCTCTCTTCTGGTTATACCCTGTTTGTTTGTTTTTGTTTTTTTTTTCTTTTCTCTGGTTCGATTCTACTCCTCCTCCTCTGGTTTGATTCTTCTCCTCTGCTCTGCCTCTGTTATACCCTGTTTTTTTTTTTCCCTTTCTTTCTTCTGGTTCTATTCTTCTCCTCTTCTCCTCTTTTTCTCTTCTCCTATTCTCTGCCTCTGTTATACCCTGTTTTTTTTTTCTTTTCTTCTGGTTTTATTCTTCTTTGACTGTTCTGGTTCGGGATTCATTTTTTGTATGCTGTCCGTTTCATTTGCCTAGAGAAACAGCAAAAATTGTGTTCTGTTTTTTAATTTTATTTAAGAATTTTGTTATACTGACTGTTCTTTTATTTTTTTTATTTTTTTCTTTCCCATCAAAAATTGACTATTCTTTTTTTTTTTTTTCTTTCCCATCAAATATGATGTTATGGTCAAGAATTTGTCTAAGTTGATAGAACAGGGTGATTAGTGCATTTCATAGAGACTTCCAGTTTCATACAAAAGGTGAAGCATACATTGATATTTGTTCTTGTTATTTGTAATGTTGAACAAATTACAGACAAGATTTTTTTTTTGAAAGAGAACGTCAAATTCGTAAATTTAAGCATCACTATTGTTTAACAAAAACAAAAGCTTCCCAATTAAACCTCATTGATACAAGATTTGAACACTGAATTACAGACAAAAACAAAAACAAAAACTGGACATAACAAAAATCCAGGATTGAAGAAAGTCAACAGATAAGCCTCATTGATACAAGATTTGAACACTGAATTACAGACAAGATTTGAACTTTTGAACATTGATACAAGATCTTTAATTGGACGAATAACATAAAGATAAACTGAGAATGTTCAGCAAGTTATGGCTATCTAAGTTCTGCATTTTTTGGAAATAAATATCTTAGTTTTGGACCATTTTGAAGCTTTTCTCTGTTTCTTGAACCTTTTTTTTCCTCTTCTTTTGCTTTGACTGTTCTGCTTCTGTTCTTCTCTTCTCTGTCTTCTCTGGTTCTTTTCTCTGTGCCTCTGTTCTACTCTCTCTTTTTTTTTTTTGCTTTACTGTGTTGGTCTTCTTTCCTTCTCATCTTCTTCTCCTCTTCTCTGCTCTGCTCTAATTTGTTCTTCTCTTGCTCTGTTTTTTTTTTCCACCTCTGTTCTGCTCTTTTTCTTTTCCCTATCAAAATAATAATAATAAAATGAACACTGAATCAGTGTTTATAATCTCAATAGGTACATACATAAAATGACAACGCCCGAGAGTGGAAAAAAAGATCCAGCATGGAAGTATGCAACAATGGTAAATCCTGTAAATCTAAGCAAGTTCAAGTGTAATTTTTGTGGAAAAGAGATGAATGGGGGTGTTTTTCGAGTTAAGCAACATCTTGTTGGAGGGTATAGGAATGTACTTAAATGTCCTAGATGCCCAACTGAGGTTAGTAATAAGGTGGCTGATTATATGGCCAAAAAAAAGCAACTGAAGGATCAATTGAACTTGGTGCCTGACTTTGATGAAATGGTCAACGAAGAAGATTTTGAGGATGAGGATGATGTTGTAGAAATCTCTCCACATGGTAAACAGCCTGTTCCTATTCAAGGTTCTACTCGAAAAACTACCTCTGCTTCTATTCGATTGAAACCTAAAAAGCTTAGGAAGATAGGGCCCATGGATTGTTTCTTCACACCTGAGCCAGAGTTAGTGGTGCAAAAAACAAAAGGCAAGGGAAAGCAAATTAAAATTGATGAAAATGATCCTTATAGAAAAGTGTTAATGGAGAGGGCCTATGTCAGAATTGCAAGATGGATATATGATACTGGAATTCCGTTTAATGTAGTCAATAATGAAAGTTTTGCACCAATGATTGAAGCCATACGACAATTTGGTCCAGGTTTGAAACCACCAAGTTACCACATGATACGGATTCCTTATCTCAAGAAAGAAGTGAATCATGTCCATCAGTTGATGAAGGAGCACAAAGAGGATTGGGCAAAGTATGGATGTTCTATAATGTGTGATGGGTGGACGGATAGGAAGCATAGAACTTTGATTAATTTCTTGGTGAATTGTCCTAGAGGAACCATGTTTCTTGAGTCTATTGATGCATCTAGTTACTCAAAGGATGCAAACAAGAAAATTAACTTGCTTGACAAGTTTGTTGACAAAATTGGAGAAGCTAATGTGGTCCAAATTGTCACTGACAGTGCTGAAGCAAATGTATTGGCAGGTTAAATCCTCTAGCTCTATTGCAAATAGTGTGCTTTTGTTTTGGTTCTATAATCTATTTGTTTAAAGTAGTATGTTATAAACTTGCAACTTGTAATCTTATAGGGAAGTTTTTGGAGGCAAAGAGACCCCACTTGTATTGGACACCTTATGCAGCCCATTGCATGGATTTAATGTTGGAAGACATTTTCAAATTACCCAATTTTAAGAAGACATTTGAAAGGGCAATTGGGGTACACAGTTATATTTATAATCGTCCATCTTTGTTGAATATGATGAGGAGTTTCACTCAATTGAAGGAGTTAGTCAAGCCTACTAAAACCCGGTTTGCAACAGCTTTCTTAACTTTGCAAAGGCTTTATCAACAAAGGGATAATTTGAGGAAGACGTTCACTTCGAAGGAGTCGACCAAAAGCAAATGGGTGAAGGAGCCATAGGGTAAGAAGACAGTTCAAATAATGCCAATGCCTTCATTTTGGAATCATGTTCACCTTGTCCTTCAATTTTCTTGTCCTCTTGTTCATGTACTAAGAATGGTTGATGGTGAAGAAAAGCCTCCAATGGGATATATTTACGAGGCTATGGATAGGGCTAAAGAAGCTATTGCAAATGCATTCGATGGAAAGGAAGAGAAGTATAAAGAGATCTTTGAAATCATTGATCAAAGGTGGGACATTCAATTGCATCACCCTTTGCATGCTGCTGGGTTTTATTTAAATCCTAGTTTGTTTTACAAAGATCCAAATGCTGCAAAGGACAAAGAAATCATGACAGGCCTATATCAATGTATATCAAGGTTGATCCCAACACTAGAGGTCCAAGATAAAGTTTGTGCAGAATTAACTAAGTATGAGAAGGCTGAAGGACTTTTTCAGATTCCTATGGCAATTAGACAAAGAAGTACAAGGGTACCAGGTAATCATTTACTTCTATTCTAGTAGTCAATACCTTTTACTTCAAAATGTTTGTTAAGTGCTAACTAATTATCATGATGAGCTGATTGGTGGAGTTCTTTTGGTCATGAAACTCCTGATTTGCAAAAATTTGCCATCAAAGTACTTAGTCTTACTTGTAGTTCATCTGGATGTGAGAGAAATTGGAGTGTGTTTGAACATGTGAGTACCCGTTGTCAAATCTAGTAGTGAATTCCAAAAACAAATTCAATTATATACAAATTTAAATGCTTTTTTATTTATTGTTGCAGCTTCACAGCAAAAAAAGAAATAGGCTTGCTCAAAAACGTCTCAATGATTTGGTGTTTGTGAAGTATAATAGAGCATTGAAGCGTCGATACATGAAACGTGCCAATATTGATCCCATCTCTTTGAAAGATATTGATGAGAGCAATGAATGGTTGATTGGGAGGATGGAGAATGAGCTTGTATTTGATGATGATTATTTGGGGTGGGATGATGTTGCTGTAGCTGCTGGAGTTGAGGAGAGTAACCAAAGAACTAGATCAAGCACAACTAGGACAACACACCAAGAACTTGTAGATGAAGAAGATGAATGGGAAGATGAAGATGAGGCTGAAGAGGAGGATGTGGATGGATACAAATCCAATGATGATGATGATGGAGGAGATGAAGTTCTTCATGTTGATGATGATGTCTATTAAGTTTTGAGTACAATTATGCAACTATAGGGCTTATATATTTTAATTTCCTTTTTGAATCACAAGTTAGAAGCTTAGTTGCATTGAATTATGTGGATGATGATTTTAGTACATAAGGTTTTTGGTGGATGTGATTATGAATGTCATACTTTATACCTTTTGTTGGATATTTATACTTTTTAATATACTACATATATTTGTTATGTTAAAAATTTTGCTTATTTTATAATTTTGTATTGCTTTTATTATGTGCACCTCGCTTTGGTGAGGCGCGCGCCTCACTTCGCGCCTCGCGCTTAGGCTCTAGGACACCTTATCGCCTCGGTGCGCCTGGAGCCTTTTAAAACACTGTGAAGAACAGATGAAAGCGAAAGTAAAGAGGTGCAATGAATAGAACCCTGGCCGGAGATAGAAGATAAAGTGCCATCAGCCACTCTAACCTTATCTCGCCCAGAACTAGGTGAATAAGAATGGAAAAAACTAGAAGTACCCGTCATGTGATCGGTAGCTCCGGAATCAATGATCCAAGGAGACGATGAAGAGGCACTGAGTGCACTAGCAGAAATACCTGTGTGAGCAAAGTTGGAAGAGGCAGAAGAGGAAGAAGCTAAGGCAGATGAAGAATCAAGTTGAGCCATCAAACGTCTGAGAGTGTGAAGCTCATTCGGGGAAACATGAGAACTAGCATCATTCGATGCACTAGCAGTAGTCTCAGAAACATGTGCTTGAGGACGAACACCACGACCACGACCACGACCACAACCACAGCCTCGAGTAGGGCGGCCATGTAACTTCCAACAGTGTTCTTTATCATGTCTATCTTTCGCACAATACTCACACTTCAACCGGTCCCGATCAACCAATGAACCCTTACCACCACCTGGAGGCGGAAAAGGCGGAGTATCACGTGACTTGGGGCCGACAACCATCGCTGACCGATCCGGAATAGGAGCATGCACCATAGCACTATGACGACTCTCCTCCTGTTGAACCAGGGCATAAGCCTCACGCAATGTAAGAAACGGAGAGCGACCCAACACCTGAACCTGTATCTAATCATACTACAAATTCAGACCAGCAAGAAAGTCATACACCCGCTCCTTCTCCACAGCCTGCTGAAACATAGTGGCATCTTTGGAGCAAACTGGCTGGAAACTCTGGTAAAAATCTAGCTCTTGCCACAACTCAACTCAGCATAGTAGACTACCAGAGAGCGATCCTTCTGATCCAAACCCCTAATCTTCTTACGCAATTCATAGGCCTGTGCATTATTCCCTTGTTGAGAATACATCTGAGAGGCAGCTATCCAGATCTTGTGAGTAGTATCCATTAAGAGAAAAGTCCGACTAATGGTAGGCTCCATAGAATTGATGAGCTAGGTCATAACTAAAGCATTCTCAGAAATCCATTTAGCAGATAATACACTATCCTCAGTAGGTGGCTGAGTACTACCAGTAATATAGCTAGTCAAACGCCGGGCGACAATGGCAAGACTATAGGAGCGGGACCAAATCAAGTAATTAAAACTATTAAGTTTGACCGGACTAATCTGGAGAGAAGGACTATCACCAAGAGTCAGACCATGACTCAGTCCATTCTCCTCCTTGCCTTTAGAGTCCTGACCCAAGTTGTCAGCCATGAGATGAGAAAAGAGGGTGCAAAAAACACAAGCTGGATATAAAACAAGTCCAGAAATCACCCAACCAGCACACCAAAACACCTTCTAAGGCTAAAACAGTCCAAGAGAAGCCCAAAACAGAGCAACCAGATCAACTACAAGCCAGAAAACCGAAAAAGAGCATCTGAATAGCGATAAAAAACCAAGATAGGGCCAAAATACATCAAACCAGGGACAATAAACCCCTCTAGGGTTCCAGTCGGCTCCCAAGGATAAGAGAATAAGGGACAGAACCAAAAAAAATAGGGTCAAACAGTGATTTTCGAAAAATCACCCAATTTTGACGAAAAATCAAAAAAATTAGAAAACTCAATCAATAATGACCAAACAATCAAAATGAGATTATAGGGTGATTACCTATTAATTTTTGAGCATACTGTATTTTTTTTTTTTGCTATAACAGACGTACTAGGAACAGTATGAAGCCTAAGGAACAATCTTTAAGGAGGAAGATAGTGCTCTGATACCATGTTGAATGTATAGATGAGAAGAAGAAGAAGAATAAGAAGAAGAAATAGAACGAGAGAAAGCTGCTGTATAATATTGATTCAAAAAACATAGGGTTTCCCCCTTACACATAACTACTTATACTAATAAGAATAATACATAAAGACCAAACTACCTCTAACACTTAACAATTTGGATAGTATGAATGAGAGATTAATTATTAATTCCCAATTGGAAGAGGATTCCCATTAAGGCTATATGGATGTAATCTTCTTTCAAGTATTCATTAGACTTCTGGTCCTCTTCTGTTGCATATGTTTTGATTACAATTTGATGGGAGCCTTAGATCGAGGGTTCTCTCTCCCTTCATAAAGAAGAGGATATCACATTTTATGGTAATATCATTTCCTTGGAGGAATCGGAATTGGACAGGACAAAAATGAGAGTCCCATTCCACCCCGTGTTTCTTGCAAATCAAAATTGACCTTTGGGAAATTTGAAGCCCTTTGATCGCCAATAGTTTCTTGTGTGCTTTATTTACACATCTCAGTGGTTTTGATTTGTATCATTGTTGGGATTCTAATGTCCTCTTTCTCCTCTTATTGTTATATGATTGGCCTGCAACACTACATTGCATTTGGTGGAGAGCGAGCTTATTATCACTTAAATTGGCTTGGTATTTATGAGTTTTACTACGTTCTCCACCGGGTGCACAGGTTTTGCAGCCATTTCCTTCTATTGGACTTGGCATCACAATGCGAAACAACATTGCTTGATTGGTTATTTGGGATTGATGTACATATATATGTGTTACATAACTTTTTAAATATAAATTTGGTTGCTTTGATGAGTTTTTACTAACCAAGGGTCACATCAAACCCTAGAGTTTCATACGAGTAACTGTTGATATAGTTGAATTTTGTAATAAGGTAATATGATTGAATATGGAGAGATAGTAGAGACAAAAAAGAGAAAAGAAAGAACACAAAGGTTTAACGTAATTTGGCTAATATTGGCCTACATACACACACACACAAAAGCCCTAGGGGGCTACATCTTTCATTCACATGACTTCATACTCTTATTTACATGATGCCCCATATATATAGAGTGAGAGATACAATCAAATCCCTTCAGTTAAGGAATTGAAATAAATCAAAGATACAAAAGAATCATAATATGCACAAATCATGGGATCTCTATATATTCTGATATCTTCCATATCTTTTGATTTCTTTGAAAATATAATCTTATTTACAACAGATATAGACACACTTAAATAGATAAATATGTATTGGTGTTTGTAGCTTTTGGTTTATTTTATTTTATTTGGATTAAATAGTGGTGGGCTAACAACTGGCGATATCCCCTCCCCATGCCTATCTTCCCTTCCCAACAAACCTAGATGAAGGTGGGATTTGATCCTCCGAGAAACCTTACTGGTTAAATTGGTCAGCACCTTTGTAATTCAAGGACTTCATTCCAAAACCTTATAATCTTCACGTTGTAAATTTTGTTTGATTTGTTTTTTTATTAAGCCTTCAGTTTTGTGGTGGTTGTCTTACCTATTTGATTCCAGTGTCTTCTAAGAACATCTCAATATTATCTGTAATTTTGTGGTTTTAATCTCTATGCAGGTCTGTTTTGTGCTTCATTTCATGTTATTTTTCAAGAAGAGGCTCTCAAGTAAGTCAGGCTAGATTTTTTCAATTTTCTTTTAGCCTTAATCTCATCCTTTTAGAGTTTGTTTCAAAACCATTAGAGCCATTTTCCATTCAAGCAGGTTTAAACAGTACAATAAAAGCAGGAATCTGACTTTGATATTTTAACTGGAACTTTTTCTATATTTCTTTTTACAAGGTTATCATGGTATCTTTTAATGCAAACATATCGGTTCCATTATCCATTTCATTTACTGTCTAATGGGACTTTAATCAACCTGGTTTCGACTGTATAAATTGGTCTGGGTCATGGTGAAGAATTAAATGACAAAGATAAAAAGAATGAAAAGAGAGAGAGAGGAGAGAAGACAAGAAAAACAGCGTTGTGAGGAAAAGAGCGAATGAGAGCACATAGGGTTCTCTTCCCCATTCTTTAATATTTATACTTACAGAAAAGATTACAATACTACCCTTCTAACACATAATAACCAACACATGGATGAGAGATTGTTGTTTTCTTTTATTACCTAGTTTATGAATCAAGTCCGCATAGATACTTCAGAGATGTGAAGTACCTGATGGTATTATTTATTGATGCATGCTGTTTGTTCTGCATCCATCACTTATTACTGTAGAGGTCTGAATGTTCTCTAAGTAACTGTTTCTAGTTTGCTTCTTTTTCTTTTTTTGGTTTTTAAAGAAGTTGATTTTTAAAACATTAATGATGATTTTAATGATGTCTTAATTGAAATTAAAATATCTGAGTCTGCCCAATTTACTGCTGACCCTCTTAATAATATGTTAAACAAGTAAAAATTCATAATCGTAAGTAGACACATGATTCTTCCATATATGTTTTTAACTTTTCTTCTCTGCATATAACCTTTAATTCTCCTAGTCTCTCATTGCTTTTGGTCCTCGAGTGCTTGTTTAAATTATCACATTTTATGGTTCCAACTCTCTCTCTCTCTCTGTGATAAATAATGAATTATGGTTATGACCAACTTCAGTTGATAATATTCATGTTTGACCCTTATTTGGTGTTGATGTAGTTTAATTTTGTGGTTGGCGTTCTTTATGTATTTTGCAGCAATGTTTTCCATATCATAAGTGCCACATTCTTGTCAAACACACATTTACTTCATAACATTTTGAATCAGAATCACACAATAGTATCTAAGTTAATACTTCAAAAAAATCCCATTGAAATATTTAATGATTTGCTAATTATTGTTTTAAAAAAAAAAGATAGCAACTATCTGTATTTTCGTCATTGTGATCCAACCTTTTCTTTTAGAAATATTTCATTTCTTGGTTTTATCTAAGTTTGCATAACTAGTCAATGAATGAAGTTGTTTAGGTTAACAGGTGGAAATTCTCTGAAGCTTGCAGTTGTGTTAGTTCTGTGGAAGCAGATTATCACCAGCATCTGATTTCACTTAATGTCTAGAACACAATAAATAAATTTTAGTCTTTTTTTGGTGGTTGGGATAGAAGTCTCTGTTTGTAATAAGACGACGCTAGCCTCTCTGCCTGTGTTGAATTATAATTATATTGGAGCTCTGGTTGACCCATTCAGCTGAGTGCACTTCTGTTAAGGATTATTGTTGAACAATTTAAAAGACCCAGAACTTGCCTCTTTTTATTTACTCCAGTGGGCATAAGGTTGGCAGTAAATTTTCTGCCATCTATTTTAAGACAATATTTACGGACTTCAAATTTTATATTCAACGGTAAGGAAGAGTGATATGATCAGTCAATTCTTTATAAAACTTGAGGAATATCTACCATTATGTTCATGTTTGTGACTTGCCATCTTTGTTTTGTGCAGGGTGACCTCCGAGACAGTTTACACCTCAGACAAAATCTCTTAAGGGCAGTCTTGGCTTTAGTTAACTGCCAGGTTTGCTTGTTTATTTAATGGAAGTAGTTTTCTCTCTTGATTGTTCAATTGTTTTATTCAGATATCTGTACTTTTTATTTGCATTGGAAGATGGATGAATTGTGTACGAGTACAATTGTTCTTCTAGAATTTGTTTTTGGCAAGTTGGTACTGAGGTGGCCAGGATTCTCCATGCATATAATTTTGGTCCATGGATAAAGATTAGTGATCGTATGCTTACACAAAAGTTTTATTATAGGAGCTACTTTTTGTAGGTGTTTGGTAGTGAGGTGATTGGTTGTGGACCTCTAGGAAGATGCTGGGTATTTAAATGGCCAACGATTGCCAGAGGTGGAGGAGAGAACCATGGCAGCCTTGAGCAAGAGACGTTGGTAGGGAGAGATCTTAGTAGGGTGAACACATAGTCTAGCAGGGTAATCTTTCACAAGATAATATGTCTATACACATGTACATGATCATGATGCTCTACAAATGTATAGTATGCTCAAAACGGTTTCTCATTTAAGAAAAATGGTTTATATCAATCCCAATGACCAAAACCAAACATTCTTATCAACCTGGTGAATCCTCTCAAGTGCATGCATTTGCTAGTAGTCATTGCTATGCACCACCTAATCTAGTGAGGTATCTGAAGTAGTAGTCTACGAGTGACCTTGGTAAGCATCACTTAAACACCACCAAATTTATCGGTTTCTAACTGGAAGGACCTTGGCACCTACACCGGGTGGGTTTTTAGTCTTTCACTTGTAACAGAGAAGACAAATTCGTATGTATATTTTTATGAATCAAAGGAGCTAAGTACAAATATATAATCTAAATAGAATAAAACCCTAATAACCTAAAAGACTAAACTACCTTTAATGAATAATATAAAATAACACACATGCACACCCCCCATCCCCCTCAAACTGAGGATATGAGCGCAGAAAGTATCGAAAGTTTGGCAAGAAGAAAACAAAAACAATCAATAGTGTGAGTCTTCGTAAAAAAATCGGCCAACTGAAGAGAGGAGGGAACAAAAGAGAGAGTAATATTGCCAATCTGAAGATGCTGTCTGACAAAGTGACAATCTATTTCAATATGCTTTGTTTGCTCATGCAAGACTAGATTATGGGCAATCTGGACAGCACTCTGATTGTCACAATACCACTGAGTCGGATCAGAAAGAGAGACACCCGTATCAAAAAGAAGCCACCGAAGCCAAACTATCTTGAAAGTAGCATGAGTCATTGCACAATACTCAGCCTCAACGGTGGAACAAGTAACAACAGTTTATTTCTTACTTTTCCAAGAGATGAGAGAATCTCCTAGAAAAACACAAAGACCAGAAGTGGATTTGCGATCAGAGATGTGACCCGCCCAATCAGCATTAGCATAGGCATGAAGAGTCAAGTCCGAAGAGGCAGATAACAGCAGACATTGCAACAGAGTGCCACGAAGGTAGCACAGAGTATGAAGTAAGGTAGCCCAGTGTGTGGAACGAGGAGCAGAAACAAACTGATTGATAATGTGCACGACATAGGAAATGCCTGGACGAGTAATTGTGAGATAAATAAGGCACCCAACTAACTCTCGATACAAAGTGGGATCCTTAAGAAGAATGCCATCAGAAGTAGAAAACTTAGCATGCAACTCAATAGGAATGTTGACAATTTTGTCACCAGTGAGATTAGCACGAGAAAGAATATCACGTGCATATTTAGTCTGAGAGAGAAGATACCCAACAGGAGAAGTAGCAACCATAATACCAAGAAAATACCAAAGAGATCCCAAATCCTTCATCTTGTACTCCCGAAACAATTGATGCTTAACCTCCTCAATAATACTAGAATTAGAGCCGGTGATGATCAGATCATCCACATAACAGAGAATGAGAACAAGGCCAACAGAAGTGCGCCAGACAAAGAGAGCACAATCATGATGACTAGGGTGAAAACCAAGCTGAAGTGCAACAGAGTGAAATCGCTCATACCAAGCACGAGGAGACTGCTTGAGACCATACAGAGCACGGCGAAGACAACAAACAACACCGGGAGGGTGAGAGAGACCAAGTGTGGGGTGCATATACACTTCTTCAACAAGATGCCCATTCAGAAAAGCATTTTTGACATCTAGCTGAAACAAAGGCCATTGATGGGCAGCAACAATAGAGATAAGAGTGCGAACAGTAGTCATCTTGGCAACGGGGGCAAAAATCTCATCGTAATCAATCCCATACTCCTGAGAAAAGCCTTGGGCAACCAAACGAGCTTTGTATCGTTCCAAATAACCATCAGAAAGGGTTTTTGACCTTATAGACCCATTTACATCCCACAACATTCTTGCCAGCAGGTAATGGAACCAAATCCCAAGTCTGAGTGTTAGCCAAAGCAGTTAACTCGTCATTCATGACAGCAATCCAATTTGGATCATGACAGGCTTCCTTGTAAGACCTATACTCAAAATAAGTATGAAGACAAGAAAGAAAAGACTAATAGGAAGGGGAGAAACATGTATTACCAAAACCAAGCCGGTTTGGAGGATGATGGTCTCACTTTGAAAAGTGATGATGTGCAGGAGGAGCGGGATCTAGAGAAACTGTTGGAGGGGCAATAGGGCTAGAGGCAGGCGAGCTCGGAAGTGCTTTGCGACGTTGATAAATAAGAAGAGGAGCAGAGGAAGCGGGAGCTGGAGAGGGAGTTGAAAAGCAGGGGAGGGAGTAGCTGGCGAGATATTAGGAGTGCTAGTAAGAGGCAAGGTAGAGACCTCAAGATTAGAAACAAACTCATCGGGAGAAAAATTAGGAGGAAATGGGTCAATATGAACCAATTCTTCCGCAATAAGCTGAAGGATAGCACCATCAACAGAAGGCAAGGGGAACCAATGATGAATAGCTCCCCAAAGTGGCTCAAATTGATCACGAAGGGCTATAAGAAACTGAACAAGACGTTGCTTCGCCCGATACTTGGTATAACTGTCAAGTAACTGCAAATCTGATGGTTTCATTAAAGTAAGCTGATCCCAATAAGTAGTCATCTCATTGTAGAACTCCTGAATGGACTTATCTTTTTGACTAGCATTGCGCATAGACATCTCAAGTTCATACTGTTTTGCAAAGTTAGACTCAAGGTACATAGTTTTCAAATAGTCCCAAACTTGTTTAAAAGTAGAATACTTGGAAAAATTCATACCAATAGTAGTTTGAATTGAATTATGAAACCAAGTAAGAATTTGTGCATTTTCCTTATCCCATTTAGCAACATCGGCCTCCGTTTCTTTGGATTTCGTAGGTCTAATAGTCACACCAATAACATATTTCCACATGCCTTTACCCATTATAAAGTTCTTCATTACATGGGACCAATAAGAGTAATTGGTACCATCCAACTTAGTGGTGATGGCTTGCAGTTTATCATCAGCCATATTGTAGATAGAGAGATGCAAGTTGACGCTGAGAGGCTTCAAAGGCTGTGAAAGTTGGAGAGATGTGTACTCCAGAACCATACAAGATTGAAGTCAGATATATTCACCAAAAAAAATAAAAATAAAAATAAAAATAAAAATTGAAGTAAGATGGTTGTAGGATTCCAACTGTTGCTGAAACACAGACACAGAGGGAGATGAAGTCAACTGTTTGCAAGTCACAAAGAGTTCGAAGCAGCCCACACAGAAAATCAAACCAGAGAGTGAGTCGATTTCTGAGGATTGCAAAGAAAACAGAGGCAACAGCGTAGCAGTAGCAGTAGCAAAAACATGGCCGAGCAACGAAACAGAAGCAGTGATAAAACAGAGCAGAAGAGAGAAACCGAAAGGAGACGGTGAACATTGAATGCTTCAGTCGAATGGTTCAAAGAAGAACCCACATGCAGAGGTCTGCCACAAACGAAAAATAAAACAAAATAAAAGACCACTGCGTGATGAGGAGAGCACCTATGAAGGTATGCAAAAGAACTATGATGGCCTGTGAATGCTGATGATGAACTGCAGAAACTAGGTCAGCAGGCGTTTGTATGGCTTTGATACCATGATAACAGAGAAGACAAATTCGTATGTGTATTTTTATGAATCAAAGGAGCTAAGTACAAATATATAATCTAAATAGAATAGAACCCTAATAACCTAAAAGGCTAAACTACCCTTAATGAATAATATAAAATAACACACATGGACATCACCATGGACTATTGAGCCAAATTATTCTCAACCTCATCTATACATGACCTGAATTCACCACCATTAGTCAATTAAAACCGTAATGTTTTAATGTAATTAATGCAACACATGCAAATATTCAATTCTCATAAAATGTGCTCCATGCACCTCCGTTCAACAATGTATTTTCATTTCCATGAATTCAACAATTCAATAATACAATAAATATAGGTTTTTGTTAACCTATTGTATCAATGTCTACAAAAATGCCATTCTCCACCAATGGCTAAAACAATTATATCTAACAACGATATAATCTCACAAATTATACTCATCTATTCTCAATTTTAATATAACATCCTTAATTCCAATATAACATCATCAATTTCTAATTTTGTGTAATATCACAAATTAGGACAAATTTGGGGCTTTTTTTTTTAAAAAACCCACATGCAAATTTGTACAAGGAAAATAGGTTTGGTAAGAAAATTATAGAGAAATATCAAATTATTCCCAATTTTGTACAAGGAAAATTGGACTTCAGCATGTGCGGCCCCACCTGTTGAAGTCCAATTTCTGAAGAAGGTTTTCTACAATTCTATTTTTTGTCCTTGCACCCGAAACTCAAATATTAAAAATGACACAAGCTAAATAGGAATTAGTACCATCTTAATCGCACAATCCAAACACAACTCGTCAAATCAAAGGTCCAAAAGTGTATTGAGGCATCCATATAAGTGGGCTCAAGTCGGGTTTAAGACCCGGGACACTACAATAGGTATGATACCTTTTCCTAGGTGTCACGTGTTGGGCCAACGCCCCTTTATTTCTGAGATCGGTCAAGGAAGACCTACTTACTCTTAATGAGCAAGCCAAGCAGCCTTGACAAGCCCTTGATCCCAGCCTCCAATCCATAATCCTTCAATGATCTTGAGCGGTGGATGCCTAGCTCTTTCTTATAGCTTAGGATGCGAAGTGATGACCATGATAGTAGTAAGTAATGATCCCAATTTTGATAAAAAGGAGTAATGATCCCAATTAAGGGGGTGTATGCATAGGGGGAGACATAAGCTAGCCAATGGCCGGGTTATGCTGCTATCAAGTGGGAGTGACCACTAAGTGGAGGTACGTTGGCTGGGGGTGGTCTTGGGTGCTTCTTAGCATTCCCTTTAGGAATGAGGCATGAAAGGCTGTGATCAAACAGGGGGACTCATCTGGGTGAGCTAGGGTGTGTTGTGGGGTGGCATTGCCGAGCGGGTGAGCTTGGCTTAGAAGAGTAGTATTGTGGGTCATGCTTCAGGCTTTTTATACTTTGAGTCATATAATTTGATGCTTTGGCTTGCTAGGGCCCTGAGAGTGCTAGCTGAGCAGCCATTCTTGGTGGTCTATATGCCTCTACTTAGGTTACGCATATAACTCCAATCAATCTGCTTTGGGATATCATTGTGCCTTGGAAGGGCTGCCATGTGGAGATGGTGGCGCAGAGGTAGTGGTGACATGGCGCCTTGTAGGGCTCACCACGTAGCAAAGGGTGGTATAGATACTCAAACTATTTATGAAGTTATATCTTGCCTTCCTTATCTTTATAACCGTTGTAGTGTTTTTTGGTGAATTTATAAAGTTGTGCTATTCTTACTTTCCAAACAATTATTGGTGTAAATTAATTTTATTTTTAATATGAATATATGTTTTTGTTGTTTGGGTTTATTTTCCCAAGGAAATATGAGCTTTACATTCACTGATTATGCCACTGTTAATGATTGAAGAGAGCCTTTGTGAATGTGTTTCTTCGTCTTTTTAACCTTTTCTATTTTTTGAAACTGTTAAATGATCATCCAAGGTGGTAAGGTATCCTAAAGGGTTAGTCAGAAAGGGAAAAGAATTGCATGAGAGTAAATGAGAGGTAAAACGCATGAACTAAAAAGCCCCATGAATTTTCTGTGGAGTTCGTCAAGTGTACATGCATGAGTTGAATTCAGTAGTACCTAATGATCATATTACTGTATTTTTATTTCATAACCTTTGGAACACTATCACGCTGGTAGTTTCTAGGGGGGAGGATATTATGTTTTGTTTTGTTTTGTTTGATGTTTCTTTTCCCCTATTTCATTAATATATTTTTTTGAAATATCTAACTTGTAACTTGATATGTCATTTAACTAGAATTTTGGAAGATGCTTTAGTCTAGTGTATTCTGTGATATTTTTTTACAAGCAGTGCCTTCTTATGCAGGAGTGTCCCATGTTGAATGAGCGCATCATTGTATTGTTGCCAGCGGCTGTTTACGCTCTTTGTGCTGGTTGTGCTCCTTTACCACTTGATTGCAAAGGCCTTTTCCCATATCATTCATCCATGGATGTTCCCGAAGCTGTGGAGGAATGGGTTAAGGTACATGTTGATGATGATCTTTTCTTGTTATTATTGAACATCTTGTCTATACAGATTGGTTTTGGCTGATAAAATGTATTCGATGGTGGTTGTAGGGAGAAGATCGCGAGCATGAAAATTTGCATGAACTTTTTGAATGCTCTGTTGAAGTCCTGGCAAAAATTGATCATTCTTTTGGTCCTGAGGTTTTTTTTTTCCTTCATCTCAACTACTGTTTGTTTTTTGTTTAGTTTTTACCTTCTGATTGTCATTGTTAATTTTCAGGTTTCCGAATCCCAATGCTATCGGAATGTACGTCTTCCCCATCAGTTAATAGATTCCCTGCTTCATGAAATGGAGACCTATATTCTTGAAGCTGTAGTAGATAAAAATGTCGAAAAGATGCTTCTGTCTGATGTCTTCTACATGTGTGCTCTCTTATCTAATTTTATGTTCTGTTCGTATATAACGAGGTTAGTCATTTCTTCTTATCTACTTTTAATGACACAGGTGTCAATCTTAGAAATGCCATCCATCTGTACCAGTGTGTTGAGGTTAAGTTTGTGTCAGCGCTGCACTTCCTTATCTGCTTTAGACTAGTTGTATGAAAGTTGTATGCAGGTTTAGTATTCATTTCTCTATGTTCATGCAAAGCATTGGCTGAATTTACTTTGGGCATGGTTTAATTTGTTAGTTATTATTTTGTTTCTTTGTTTTCCTTTCTTCTTCTTCTTCTTCTTCTTCTTCTTTTTTTTTTTTTTTTTTTTTTTTTTTTTTTTTTTTTTTTTTTTTTTTTTTTTTTTTTTTTTAAATAAAAAATTATTTTGATGTAGGCATATTATTTTTTTGCTATGATGATGTTTCATGTTTAATGTACAATATAATTGGAAGACACTGAATGTGATATTTCTTGCGATTCACAATTTGGCTGATGGCTAATGTCAAGTTCAGCCAAATTGTGAGACTGAGTGGATGGACATTCTTTCTACCTCCATTGTAGCCATAGATTGAAGTCGATACAATTTTGGTATGCACAAGTGATTTTGTCTCTAATAATTTATTTATACTTTTATCTATCCTAAAAATGTTTTGCTTACTTTCAGGGTACCTATTTGATTGAAGTTTCGTCATTCCTCACTAAAATGGGCCAATACTCGATAAAACTGCTGGATTGTGCTGTTTCTGGTATTGAAAAAAGTCATAATGATGCGAGACGTGGTTGTTTGAACTCTAATTATATTTTTGAAGGCATGAATTCCGTCATAGCTTCTTCCAAAAGTTTTGTTTGCTCTCCTCTTTTCAACAAATGGAGAGATCAAAATGTTTTTGATGTCGTAGTCTATACTGCAATAAGTCAATCTATTGAGAGGCTTTTGAAAGCTCTGGCCAAATTATATGAAGAATATTCTCAAAGTGCAACGAATTTTCAGCCTCAGATAGACCTGCCTGACTTTTCTGCTTCTATCACTTCTGTTCCAAAATCTCCATCGAATAGCAGTATCAGGATGATTATGGACATGGAGTTGGACTTGGTTGAAGATTCTAAAGATGTTGATGTTATAGCAGTTAGTGGGAAAACTGTCAGTGGTGTTTCTGTCTCGGCTGGGACATGGAAGTTTGACATTATATCACTAATTTCCTGTTTTTTCGCAGTTTTACCAGTTGTTACTTGGGAAATCTTGTTTGACCTTATGGACAAAGAAAATGATGCATGTGTATGTCAATGCACTAGTTTATGTTTATTATTTTTATTGTTTTTGAGGTTTGTGCTAGTCTATTTTTTTAGTTTTATTTGTATTATATATATATATATATATATATTTACTTATGCTTTTAATGCAATTATTCTCTTTCAGGTCTTGGAGAATATTTTATTCAATGTTTGTCGACATCCTTATTGGCCCTCTTCCAGAAAGTTTTCAGACTTGGTACTGTGATCACCTGGATACTGATGGCATGAACTTTGAGAACATGTGCAACTACAAGTTACTTAAATTAATGAATATTATTTCAAGCTACTTATTGCTTGATGACATTCATACCCTTGGACATTTGCTTCCTTGTTTTATTGATTATTCATGGTTATGTATTTCAACTCCTTTTTGCAGGTTTCATCAATGAATAACATGGTAGATTTGAGGGCAAGCCTTAAACCACAGTGTTCTAATATCCTAGCTGCTATCTGTGATTTGGTAGGGACCTTAATTTCCTTGGACACTTTTCGAAGGGATACTAACACTGTTGGAAAGGACACAAATATTGCTCTACCTTTAAGGGAAAGAATCTCTGAACAGGTAGTTTCTTTATCTTCATTTATTTATAATATAATAAATGGTGCAAAGTTGGTAATTACTAATTAGTAATAATTTCTTATTTCGGTAATTGTAAAATATACTCAGAATTGTGTGAAAATATCTGAGGCAAGAATTTGAGAAAAGAGGGAAAAAGGAATGAAACACTCTCAGAGTCTGAACAGAGAATATAAGAATAGCAAAAAAATCCAATTCCAACTATGAAAAATCCATGAAGTAAAAACAAGTTGTTGCTTGGGTTGTTTCTAATGGAATGGCAGCCATGTTAGTTCTACATGAGAGCCTTTTTCTAAAGGCTAAAAAGGCACTCTAATCAGTCACCTAGGTCCCTTTCCTATTTCAGTTTGCCGCCTATTAAGAGAATGGGTCCCATTCAAGCGGCCTACCTTTATTCATCTCAGAATCTTTTGGGAGGCCTTGGTGGTCTCTTTTTATCTAAAATAGTTTAGGAAACTCTTCCTACAAGGAATGGCCTTCTTTCTTTCATCTAAAAGCTGGCTGGTATATTCTCATATTCAAAACAAGGAAGGTGCCGCTCATTCGCAATTACTACCATAAGAAAGTCACCCCTCTAAAGGGGCTTATGCGCTCTGTGACTTTCGCATGTTATGGGATGTCGAAGACTGAATTGAGTTGTTATGCATTTAAGCCTCCAATTAAGTGCAGTAACATTGTTTTGACATTATAGAGTCCTAGGATACACAGTTAATGCTTTAATGCAGTTTTAGTTGGGATGGAATCTATTGGAAGGAGAAAATAGTTGGATGAGTTTTTTAGTAATATCATGAGGGATAGGTTGACGCAAGAGGACATTAGTGTTGTGCGGAGAGCCCTATGAAAACTCAACCATGCTAAGATAGTTGATGGCTTCTAGATGAACGATACAAATCCGAGAGAGAAACAAACACAAACTAGGAGCATGGTTTGGTCTGAAACTGTCTCCACGAGTATGGTTTGGTCGCTTTAGTTCTGTTATTATATCTATGGGCTTTGTTTAGTGTCACTCAGATCACACTTGTTTTATTCGTCGGAATTCTGTGGGACAGTGAATAATCTTGTTAAGTGTATGTGGATGATATTATTCTCGTAAGTGATGACTCTGTCGGCATTGGTCAAGTAACGAAGGACTTGGGCCAAACTTTTGGTATTAAGGATTTGGGATGGCTCAAATATTTTCTGGGAATTGAGGTGGCTCGCTCAAGGGAGGGGATCTCTGTCTCAGAGAAAGTACACCATTGACTTGCTTAAGGATACTGGTATGTTAGGGTGTAAATCTGCTTCTACTCTTATGGATCCTAATGTCAAGCTCACATCAGAGTCTAGTGAGTTGTTGGATGACCTAGGCATGTATCAGCATCTTGTCGGACGCCTCATTTATTTGACGAACACTAGACCTGATTTGACATTTGCGGTTAGTGTTGTGAGTCAGTTCATGCATGCACATTGTAAAGAGCACCTGGACGCGATTCATCATATTTTGAGGTATTTGAAGACTTCTCCTGGCTTAGGATTATTCTTTACAGTTGGTCTCCAATCTAGGCTCTCTTGTTTCACTAATGCCGACTAATGCCGACTATGCAAGATCTAGGACTGATCGGCGTTCCACTTCTGGCTTCTGTACTTTCTATGGTGATCATCTTATCTTGTGGAAAAGTAAGAAGTAGGCTGTTGTTTCTAAGTCTTCTGCAGAGGCTGAGTATTGGGTTATAAGTCATGGGACATGTGAAATTCTTTGGCTTCGCTCTATTTTGGTATAATTGGGATTTGAGGAGACTTTTCCATTCTCTTTATTTTGTGATAACAAATCTGCCATTATGTTATTTTCTGATTCTGTGCTTCATGAGCGTACCAAGCGTATCGATATTGACATACATTTCATTCGAGAAAAGATTCGGACTGGCATTGTGTTTCCATCTTTTGTCTCTTCTTTCAGCAGTTGGCAAATATGTTCACAAAATCTGTGAGACCAACTTTGCTCCGGTCTTCCATTGACAAGCTGCGTTTGTTGAATATCTTCATGCCAGTTTGAGAGGGAGTATTAAATATAGAAACTAGAATATTATGTTTAGAATATGAATTAGAATATTTTTATGTTGATTGTAGGAATCTCTCTTCTTGTCTATATTGTTTCCTTAAGTTGTATCATGAATATATTATATATATACATGGCCTATACCTCATTCAAAGGTAAGCCAAATAATTCTCTCCATCCTTTTCATAGTGTGTCCCCTTATTTAATTAATTTATTTTCAAGGGATACGCTGAGGACGCTTCTCTTTCGGGGACATGTCAAGTTGTCTTTTCCCCTATTTTATTTAGCGCTTTTGTTGAATGTTAAATGTTTATTATTTTTTTCTTAAATTTAAATACTTAATAGATGATCCATAAAAAAAGATATAAATTATAAGTGTTAATTAATATAAATTATTAGTGTTAATTTAAAAGTGTTTAAAAAAATAGAATTAGAGTTAGTTTTTGTTAAAATTGACTGTTTGTAAATATTATATTAATCTAGATAGCAAATAAAAATATATGAAAACACATTTTATTGCCGTGTCCCCGCCGTGTCCATGTTCCCATTTTTTTGAAATCGCCATGTCCCGTGTCCGCATTTGTATCCGTGTCCATGCTTCTTAGGTCAATTGTGCATGTCTTTTTTCTTGTTCTCTACTCTATTCGACATCACTATACTATCACAGCCGAAGGCTAATAGCAGAAATCTTACAATGCAGTATGCAAAAAATACACAGACACATATATAATGTTTAAGCTAATTACAATGCTAGAGACCTAATATTTATAGGCCAAAACCCAAATCAATTAGGAATCTTGCTTCTCACATTGTTGGTAGGGATGTAATCGGTTTGGGACTGTCGGTATTTCGGTGAAATTTTGCACCGAATTGATAATGTCGGTTTTATTATATTGAAAATCGATACAGATCAATTTTTTACCAAACTGCATCGATTCAAACAGTTCAGCTCAATGTGGTTTAATCGGTTTAAATACTTTCAAAATGAGTAGTTTCTTAAATTTGTAGTATAATAAATAATTTATATAAAAATATAAAATTAGCCATTTGTACATAATTTTAACTATATCCAATCCAACTATTCACAAAAATACAAACAAAAAAAATTAATAAATACGAATGCTTGAAGCTTTTACTGAATTAGAATTAAAAATAAAATATAATTTAAGAACCAAAGTCTTAACATCAAAATAAAACCAAAACTTAAAACAATAATTTTATTATATATAAACATCTACGGTCGGTTTCGGTGAAAATCGATGTACAATATGTCAAAACCGGTAACCGAAAATCGAAAAGAAAATAATTTTCAAAACCGAACAGACCGATTCATATTAAAATACCCGACCAAATATGACCGGTTCGATTTGGTTCAATCGGTTTAGTCGGGTTTTTCAGTTTTTCTTATATCCCTAATTGTTGGAAACAAAATCGAAATTCCTAATATTTTTTGTGTTTAAATCTATGTAATGGGCGAAAAGTGTCCAATCCATGCAATCCCATGTGCTTCTCATTAGGCTTCCAAAGCAGATAATGGGCTATAATTATTTAAAGGTTACGCCATCATATAGTTTCCGAACAACTTTAATTTGTTGAATCATCTCTATGAAAGGTTGAAGAATGGCTATTTGATACTTAGTTTCAGTCATTCTTTTTATCTTACGCATGTTTTGACAGGTCAACTTATGCAACATTATTATTTACTACTTTTGCAGAGCTTGACATTTCTTGGAGATCTATTAAATAAAGTTGCAGAAAATAATATCTTCGATTGGTCTGGTCGCTTGAAGCTGATTGATTGCATATGCAATTTCATATTACTCAGACCTCACATTGGTCAGGTGATTGTTGTAACTATGATTACTGTCTTAGTTGTGCATGTTTTATTGGGAGTTTGTGGGCCTCTTTTCTAGTTTCTTTTGCATTCTTAATTCATAGTCTGAACTGTCTTTTGTCATTTTGTGATTTGGTTATAATTTCCAATTTAGAAGGCAGCGAGGTAAGATTTTGTTTTCTTCATGTTTGTTTAGCTTTGTTTGGTTACCACTGATTCCTGAGCTCTTATTTCTATCGTTGTGTTCATGATTTGTGTGGTGTACCTTGAAATAGAGCATGATTGAAAAGCTGCTTATGATGCTACGGGATCCAGACTACCGAGTAAGGTTCTTGCTGGCAAGACGGATTGGCTTTCTTTTCCAAACTTGGGATGGCCATGATGAACTCTTCCAGGATATATGGTGGGTATTAAGAATCTATATCTTCCAAGTTTCTATTATTATTTCTATTATTATTAATATCAAGAAATGTAAATACTAGCCCTAGTGCCCTTGAACTTGTTAGTAAGATGAATTTAATGCCGACACCCAAACTCGATACTTGTACTCAATTCTGCCTGACAATTTTCTGTTGACCCTGGATCCTATTTTTGTGCATTTTTACCATTGTCTTGGTTGTTGTTGCATCATTTTCCTTTGTTTAGAACCATTATTGGCATATGTGTGGATTGCCAGATGAGCTTAGTCTTGCCCAGATATTGGTTTTTATGAGTTGGATGATATAAGGCTGCATTTGAACTCCAACCCAAAGGTGCTTGCTAAGTCTATTTTTTTGAGTAAAAAGTGTTAATATTTGCCCAGAATTTCTGCTCCATCTATACTGAGGACGATCTTGTCTCCTTATCAGTGCATTTGTTTTCTCTTTATAATGGGTTTGTGTTTTTTTTTTTTTTTTTGGATAAAGTAGTCAAAAGTTTTGGCTCTCTTTTGAGAATTTTTTACTGCTGCTACTGGGAAGAGGAAAATCATATTATCATCTTGATCTATTATGACTATTAAGGGTAAATTTTTTGTTACAAAGAAATTGTAAGTGGCACTCTTATCCATCAACCTGGGATGCAATAAAGTGCACACTATGATAGAAAAGGCTGCAATAATAAGCAGATGGTTCATTATCATGCTGCTATGTTCCATGGAACAGAAATATCAGGATGTGGCACCTTTTGAGGCCTCCACTCTTCCAGCTTTTTGTTTGTGTTAGCCTTTTTAACTACTGATTAATCAATGGATTTAAACTCGAGATACTTTAGCCTTCAATAGCTCCTCCCTCCATCTTGTCCTTCTGTTTTTTGGTGATATGCAAGTGACTCACCCTGGTTTATACTGAGACTTGAATCTGCATCTTTCCATTTGGGGGTGTTGTTATACATCACTGAAGCTAACAGGTGGTGGTAGACTTCTAAACCTGTGTTGCTGGATAGGAGAAAAGGCACCGTGCTCAAATGGGGTTGCTCGTCTCTTTGCTTATTCCAATTATCATTTTCCTTGAAGAATTTTTCTTCTCAAGCTTAAAACTTTTTAAATTATAGTGATTCATTCTTGTTTGCTTCTAGTTAAATTCAAATGTATAAAGAGAAGTGCTATTGTAGGAATGAAGCCCCATTGTACATGTGCATGCTACTGTCATATGTCTAGGATCCTATCAAAAAGGATTTATGATTGGCCAAAGTAATACTCTGATCTATTATCTTTTCTATTTGGTCATTTATTTATTCTTTAACAGATTGTTAACTCTTTCCTAAACGCTGTAGGGTTATACTTTTTAGTTACCTTAACTAGGTAATGCTTGATAGTGCAAATTCTTAGAAAGCCGTATTTGACCTATATGCCTTCCGACAAATAATTGACTCTAAAACTTTGATCCTTTTGTTATGTTTCGAACCTAATTTTAATTTTTGGTAATAAATGAAATTTTTAGCCTTGTTTGGTTTAACAAGCATCTTTTTATGTAAAAGAGGTTGAAACAAGGAAATGGTGCAAATAGTGAAAAGATTCTTCCTGATATTGAAACTTTCTCGCTTGAGTATTGTGCTCTGTGCTCTCTACGTGTGGTTGATAGAATATGTTTCTTGTGTATTGCTTTCTGTATTAGATTCTTGAAATATGTCTATAATATATATTTTTCTTTGACCATTATTTCAGTTCAAATTTTGGTGTAAAGTTGGTGGCTTCCTCAAAAGATAAAGTTGTAACTGCAGAAGAGGTCTTAGCTGCTGGTCCTCAGCCTCGTCCAACAATGGAAACCATTATTATCACTCTTATGCATCTTGCATTGTGCAGCGAGAAAATAGAGCTGGAGGTATTATATTCATTTATATCTAAATACTCTCTCTCTATGCATTTCCTTTGTTTTTATTTGCTGTATGGGGAAATTAAAAATCTTTTTGAAAAGTAACCAAGAAAGCCACAGTGGGTAGAAGAGGAAATAAAGTCTAAAAATATGGAAATTGAACCATATGACACAAAACTTATAGCTTTATTTGGATTCTTCGATTATTTTACATTGCTTATCGTTTTGATCATTGATGAATAGTGGATTGTGTTGATAGTCATCACTAACTCTCTTCACTCTCTAGAATCTACTCTCAAGAATATTCTAGAAGTTTCCACATGAATCTAGAGACTTTGGAAAGTTCTAGAGAAATCCGGAAGATTCTAGAACATTCTAGAAAAATTTGGAACATTGAGAAGGTTGGTGAAATCTAGACAAATCTAGAAGGTTCCGGAAGGTTCTAGAACATTTTAGAAGTATAGGAAACTCTAATATGTGCTAGAGTAATTTAGATAGTTCTAGAGTATAGTAGAAGTACGAGTATATCCTAGAATGTTCTAGTAGCAAATTTATCACGACTCATTTTGTGGATGAGGTTTGTTTCTAGAAAATTCTTCACTAGTATAAATATGAGATGAGTTCATGTACTAGGCATTGAATGATCAAGCACTATAAGAGGATCTAGTGAGAGTTGTGCTAAAGTCTTGAGTGAGGAAGACACAAAGTGCAAGTGTGAGTGTTTGAATGTGTTGTGTGAGTAAGTGACGTGTATTAGTGTGTGGTTGTGTATAAGTGTATTTGAGTGTTGTCAATAAATGTCATATTTTTGGGTCCATTAGTGTGTCAAACTCAACATATTGTTGGTTTCTAAGCATGAGGAAACAATAGTTGGGTTATGTGCAAAATTTACTTTGTAGTCTATTTGACCTATTTGAAAAATAACACGGTAAAATTACACTTAGGTTCCATTGAATTGTTGGGAAGCAGCTCAAACATTTGAAAATCCTATGGCGCACATGGGTTGAGCTAATACGATATAATAATGAAAAGGGTAACAGCCTGAGCGTGGCCAGCTGTCCTAGACATTGGGTTTGAAAATAAAGTTTAAATATTTCCAAAAGAAAACTAGACAACCTAGGCCTGCCCATATAACCTAAAAGCATGTTTATAATATAAAAATATTAACGTCACAACTTGAATATATATGATGTGATAGTTAAAGTGTATACCTGTAAAAGGGAATCGTATTCGTATCATACCGATACACTTCATATACTCACGAATATATATCCAATGCTTCCTAAATGCATCCGATACTTGATGTTAATTTGAAATGTATCAGATACTTTTTGGACACTCTAGTTCATGTATCCAAAGTATTACCAAATTGAAATTGTAATATAATTTTAGGGAGTAATCACACCCCAGTGGTGTTAGAGGAAAAAAAAACTACACAATCAAGAAAAAGTTTATAATTTTAATTATTAGTATGTATAAAGTTTCTCATTAATTTGTAAATATTTTTGTAAAACTACACTGATTTGATATTTCCCCTAATTTTTGCATATATTAGAGTATAATTTTTAGAATAAATACAAAAATAGTTTTTAAATATTTTTTAAAAATTTTTTAATGAAGAAGAAAATAGTGAAATTAAATTAAAGTAGTACTCTACTTTTTTATGATTTTATCAAATTAATGCCCACCAAAAAAAAAAAAAAAAAGAAAAAAAATGAAAAGGAAACTGAATATTAGCTCTTAATCTAATATCTAATTCTTAAAGAATTGTTTCTCATTTTTCTTTGAGCTCATGTGTAATATAATATTAAAAATTATATATATGTACATTTATATATTTTCAATGAATTTTGGCTGGAGATGTATCCTGTTTTTTAGGATTTTGTTATCTCACTGTATCTGTATCTTATTGTATATTATTTTCTCTTTCACTATTGCTAATCAAGGTGTCAGTGGCCTTTTTGCATTGTTCTTTATAATAATATATAAATTCTTCCACTTGTATATATATATTTTTTTCTCCATTTGTAATGGATACATAAAAGAGTTGTGTTCTTGTTTTCCTATGCTGATATCTGATGTCATGTGCAGGCTGTTTTTATGATGTGTGTGATTTCTGCAATTGATCCTTGTCAGAGGTATTATATATCACCTGGTTCTTTTGTTATTTTGACTAGCCATCTGTATTTGTAAATGATTGCATGTTTTCTTCTCCAGAGAATTGGTCATTGCAGCACTTGATAATCTATCAAGACAGCTCCAGTATGCTAATAGGTCAAAGGTTGCCCTCCACTTGTTCTCCTTTCAATAATTTGATCTTTGTGAATGAAATGACTCTGATTGTTTTGAAAGGGCTGTCAGCAAAGTTGTTCCTGTCAAATTGGTTTCGATTTCCACAAAATGATTATGGGTAGATTTCCTTTGATTTTTGTAGTACTTGGAGGAACTTATGGGATCAGTTCTCTTTTGTTGGGTTGCTTGTGGCGTAAGCTTAGTTTCACTTGTTGAGGTAATGCATTATTATCTTTGTCCTCTAGGGATTTTCCAAGTAGGATAAAAGGGTGCTAGGCATTATGCATAGTCTTATTGTTCTTTGCAGGTAAGAGATCTTTTTGTTTCAAATATGGAGCCCAGTCATTTTATGCAGTATTGTTGCCATTGGCTTCTTCCAGCTTTAGTTTTGCGTGGGGAGACTTCCAACCTAAACTGGGTTGCTAAGGTGGGCAATGCTAAATTCTTCCTGTTTCTTCTTTAATAAAAGATTGTTAAAAATTGTATTGAACTAGTTTTTATTTATTTATATTTCTTTTTTAAGCAAGCATTTTATTACAGAAGAAAGGTATTACAATACAGCTTAACACACGTAGCCATAGGTACACATTACTTACCCATAATGGGTACACACTGCCAGCTAGACTGCATGTGCTGATTATGCTGAATGCTGAATTTCTAACTGCTTATTTTTATGCCTCTTTTGAGGTGTACTGACCATCACTCAACTGCAGCCACCGCCACCACTACTTCTACTGCCATCACTCCATTACAACAACTACCATCGCCACTGCCACTTCTCACTACCACTATCCCACCATCACACAAACTACTACTGACCACCACCGTCACCTCACCCTATCACACAACCGTCCTCAGTCTTTGTTGCTACCACTTCTTCATTATCACAACCGTCGCCATTACCACCACTCCACTACCACCAAAACTTTTGCCACTACCACTACCACACCATCGCTGCCACCACTACAACAATCTACAACCACCACCACCACTACCTTCAACTGCCATCACTGTCACAGCCATAACACCACCTCCACTCCATTATGGCCACCACTGCCATCACTACCAGCCTACCACCGTACCACTACCACCACCACCACCACCACCACCACACAACTATCTCCACCACTGCCACCATCACCATCCCCTACCCCACCAGCCCCAACCATGGCACCACTACATTTTCCACATTTACTTCTTCACAATCCAAGCACCACGACCATCACTGGCACCATTACATTACCACCGTCGTATTACTACTAACCCACTGCCACAATATAAACAGTGAAAAACAAAAAATAAAAAAATTAGTAACAAATTTCAACTTTAGTTTCTTATGTATGTACAACTTGATTAAATTCAATATTCAAATGTTGGTACATACCAAACAATTTTTAGATATAAAAAATTCAGCATTCAATTTTATTAAACACCACCCAAAAATTTCACTGATAACTGGTTGACTTGTTCGTCGATACCCATTTTCCCTATTTAACAAGAGATTTTGATTTCTTGTTGACATTCAGATAGTTTAGTTTTTTTTTTTTTTTTCTAATTAATTTATAACTATTGTTGCATTGTTTGGTTTTGTTAAAGTTAAGAACATATTTGCTTTCAGGTGGCCTGTCAACACACATCTCTTCTGGTTAAAAATCACTTTGTGCCAATCTTTTCTATTTGCATGGCATTTCATTGCAATAAGAAGTCTGGATGGGAAAATGGAGCAGTGGTACTTCAGAGTTCAATTTTGAGAATTGCTGAGATATCTGAGAATGAGAGAGACAAACTCATAAAGAAAAATATGGTTTGCTCGTCTACAAATCTAAGTTTAATATTAGATATTTAATGTTATGATGAATTTTGTTGCATAAACTGTTAGCAGGTTTTGTTTAGCCACATTTATAGTATTCAAAAGTGAACCATCCTTGTTGGAAGTAGAGTTGATACAAATAGGGGTAGCAAATAGGTGAATATGTGGAGCAAACAAGCAACTCTTACAAAAGATACCTGAATCTGGTAGTCTTCCAGATCTGGACAGTAAGGAAAATAGTGGCTTAGGTGCTAGCCTCTTCGTGCATACAGCAGCGACGGATGGACTGGTAGGCACCATGGGGTTGAATCCTCAAACCCCAGCCTCCAAACCTTTAAAACCCCAGCTGGTTTTGAGAGCTCTGAGCTCAGATCTGTGTTTTTTTTTTCTACAAAAGTCCCTTTTCTCTGCATATCAGTCCCCTTCTATAGAAAGTCAAGAGACTTTTTAAAGAAGCCAACTCAAAACTTGCAAATGATCCCCCCTAAAAAGACAAAATATATTAAATATCCTCAAAACATTACTTACTTAACAAAAACAAACCAAGGACCCCAAAAAAACTCACACAAGTCGAGGCTTGAAACCTTAAAATGATGAAAACATCCTCACCAATGACACCCATAATTGTTATGTTATATACATATTTGCATTGTTTGCATCAGCTGTATGTATGAGGTGGTTTATAGGAATGAAAAAGAAGGATAAAATAAAGAGAACAGAGGATATGAAGAAGAGATAAAAGTGAGGGATTTCCTATATTTCATAGTTTTTATATTAACTTCCAATTATAGAGAATTATAAAATTAAGGAAATATCTAACACTCTCTCAAGCTGGTGCTAAGACATCACATATGCCCAACTCAAATACAATTGTGTATTTTTTGCTTAGTACTCCTTTTGGGGGGGGGGGTTCGGTTAAAGCTCATATATGCACAAAGTGTGTAGTTTTATATATTAATATGTGTCACATCACATATATGAATATTGTATTCAAAGATTAAAAAACAAACAAACAGAACATACAGTGCTTTCTAAAGTTTAAAGAAGGGGGGATTTATACCCATAAATCTACATTATTTTCATTTTATTATTGGATCCCAAGTTATTTTGTTCGAACGTGTATTGTGTATCTCGTTTGTCTAAACGATAGACACGTGTCCACCTAGTGTTCGAAGTGTGTTAGTGTCTACAAACACTTAAAGAATAATAGGAGACGTTTGGACGTGTGTTCAATACATGTCTGGAATGTTCGAACAAGTGTCGGTGTCCAACATGGACACCACTTTCTTGGAAGTATCTAGCTTTTGTAGGTTAATACATCATCAAGGTGATCTCACATACTTGATTAAAAATATAAAAATATGACATTTTTTTGCCAAGTCTGCATACTCTTAAATTTATGGTTTGATGAGTCCGACCTCTAGGTACATACATGCACGCGACATCCATATCCGAGTCCATGTAACATAGGCTGAGGAAACTATTAAGTCACCAATTTTCCCAAAAAGCCGAAGCTGTTAGAAAATGGGCCCAACAATGTACATCAAGCTATTTAACATCCTCCCTTACGTGCAACCCTATCTTGCAGATGGAGAGGCAAACAAAGAACCAAACAAAAAGAGAACCAAGCAACCAAACAGAGAAAAAAACCAAACAGGGACGTAATGCCAAATGCTAAAGGAGAGAGTTGAACTCAAGACCTCTCAACCAAAGCTTTGATACCATGTTAAGTTATCAAATTTCCCAAAAGCCTAGGCTGTTAAGAAATAGGCCCAACAATGTATATCAAGCTATCTAACAGTAACAAAATCATCACTTTAGTGTCACTCGACCCATGTGTGTGCTTGGTCTTGCTGCCAGTTCAGTTAGTTTGGGTGTTAGTCTTGTTTTTCAATGTACAAAGGAGGGTTGCAGGTTTGACAATGTGTGAGAGCTTGTTTTACATTGTTGGGTCCATTCTACAAGTTCATTTGGGGCGATTAGTTAACTGGCATAGTTGGATAATATGATTACGAGACTGGACTACCGAAGCTAGGTATTGGGTAGTGCTTTCATGTTCCCTTTTCCTCTTTCTCTTCCTGCACATGTAAGTTGGGACCAATGTGCAAAGGAGGGTTGTTGTGAGGCAATGCGTGTGAGCTTGTTGTACATTGTTGGGTCCATTCTACCAGATCATTTGGGGCGATTAGTTAACTAACATAGTTGGATAATATGATTACGAGGCTGAACTGTTGGAACTAGGTATTGGGTATTGCTTTCATGTTTTTTTTTCCCCTTTCTCTTTGATGATGGGCCCAATCAAGAACATGAGAGAGAATTTAGAGAGAAAAATATCTCAATCAATCAATGTTTAATATCTAAAAGTTAGTTACAAAGTGGTTATGCTTCTTCTAGATATAGGCTACAATTTCCCTTCACTAACTATCACATTCTATGCACATGATATCCTATATCATACTCTCCCTCTCAAAAGAACTTGTCTTCAAGTGAAGACAAACAAAACACAACTAATGCCCTAGAAGTGAAATCAAAACTAGAAAGTACAATACAAACAAATTCCACAAAGGAAACTAATGTACAATAATAGAAGCGGTGTTGATACAAGAATCATCCGGCAAATAAGGCACAAGGTGTTGCACATTAAAGGTGTTGGAGATTCCCAAATGAGGCGGCAATTTGACTAGATAAGCATTGTCGTTGACTTTGTGCAACACTTCACAAGGACCCACCTTCCTATCGGTTAACTTGGTGTAAGCACCATGAGGATACCTTTCTTTGGTTAACTCGGCCCACACAAGATCCCCCACCTCAAACAACACTTTATGTTTATGCACATCAATGTCCGATTTGTATTTGGCATTGGACTTTTCAATTTGGGTCCTAATTTGAGCATTGACATTCTTGATGAATTTAGCCATGTCCTCCACTTTAACGTTTCCCTTCCTTGAGATAGGCAAAGGAACCAAATCCATAACACTTGAAAATTTCATTCCAAAAACTACTTCAAAGGGAGAACTATTTATTGTTGGAATTAAGAAATAGTGCTATTATAAATATGGTAGTGTTGGAATTAGGAAATAGTGATATTGTAATTATGGTAGTGTGTATAAATTTTTGATTGTGTCAATCATAGATTTGATACCCTTTTTTTTTTATATCTTCGTTTCCTATTTTGTTCGTTTCCTAATTTGTAATATTGTTTCATTATAAATACAAGGCTCTACCTCATTCATATGTAAGCCAAAACAATTCTTTTCATTCTTTTTGGTATCAAAGCCAAAACACAGAAACCCTAGACCATTTCCTCTTCCCTGTTGGCCTCTGTTCTTCACTACCTAGCAATTTCTTCATCTTCTTTCTTCTTCATCCAGCAGCTAGCAGCCAACAGACCTCCTCTCCCCTCTAGATCACCTGACAACACCCTCCCTCCTATACCCCTCGGCAGTCCTGCCAAGGACATTACTACTGCCAACCAGGTCTCATCTTGGCCTAGAGTACTTCGACCAGGTCTCCCCCTGGCCTAGGTTGGTTCGACACCCTCTTTACGGTGGTCTAAACCCTTTTTCTCCCTTTTATAGGGTGTAGTGCTGATACTTTAAGAACTTTTTTGGATCTATTTTTTTCTTTTTTTTTCTTTCTGGGCTACCATGTTTATTCGGTAGCATTTAGCCATTGAGTTTTTTTTCCGACTTTTCTGGTGGTTTACTCGGACTGTGTTGCTATATTGCTGTCTATTTCAGCCCTCATCATCTCCCTATGAATAATTAATCTTTTATCATTTCCTACTGAGGTATCTATTGCGGTCTACACCAAACCTGTGCCTGTTCCAAGTACTAATTTTTCTCTTTCCCATCAAACTCCTATTCATCATATTATGAGTGTGGTGTTGAATGGGAAAAAATTTGCTGCTTGGAACTGTTTCCTTAAACTCTATCTTGGGGGAAGGGAAAGGCCCATTGGCTTTTATCTACTATTACCCCGCCAGCTGTGACAGAGCATACACGTGCTCAGTGGGATATCAATAATTGCACTATATTGGGATGGATGTTTGATTTCATGGAAGATCGGATTTATCATATGTTCCTTTATTACGATGCAGTTTCGAGTTTGTGGCAGACATTGTACAGATGTACGCTCATGCTCACAATGATGCACGTATCTTCGAGCTTTACCAGGATATAGCCCAGGCCTCTCAGTCCTCTCTTAGCCTTTTTGTAGCTAAATTTTTTGGATATCTTCGGGCTCGTTGGGAGAAACTTACTCAATATGAGTCTTTGACTGACCTTTCACTAGAAACAGCCTCTCTCGTGTCCAAGAGGCTTGCCCGACAGCACACTTATCAGTTTCTCATGGGTTTAAACTCTGAATTTGAATCTTTTTGAATTCAAATTCTAAACACATCACCCGTGCCATCTCTTTATGAGGCTTTTGCCATTATTGACAATGATAATCGTCGCCAACGATTGGTTCAGCTTATTGTTCCTTCAGTACCTTCAGTTTTAGCAGATCATATGGCTCTTGCTGCGAGTTCTAGTTCTTGGAGTTCCACCAATTCTGTTACTTGTCATCATTGTGGTGCGCCTAGACATGTCAAAGCCCGTTGCTTCAAACTTCATCCTGAGTTGAGGTAACGCCCTTCTCGTCCTCGTGGTCCTGTTACACATGGTTCTGGCTTTGCTCGCATTGTTGCTTTGGTGGAAATTACTCTTGCTTTTAAGCCTCCTGATGTCCCTAATCTATAGCAATTATAGACTCAGATTGGTTAGCTTTAGGCCTAACTTGGGCCTCTCCCCACTGGTTATCTTGGTCCATCATCCTCTACTGCCACCCTTGCTATAGGCACTTCTACTGCTTTCCATGTTCGGTCTACTAGTCTTTCATGGATTCTGGGGCTAATGATCATATGACTGGTGAGTTTTCTTTTCTTTCCTCTCCTGTACCTACCATTGCTACCCAATTTGTGTGTCTTGCTGATGGTTCTTGCTCTTTTGTCC